TGATCTCAGGCTTCATGAGATGGAGCCCCACATTGTGCTCTGTGCTGATAGCGTGGAGCCTGCTTGGGATTCTCTCTCCCTCTCTGTTTGCCCCTCCCCTGCTCATACGTGCATGCTCTCTTTCTCTCTGCCTCTCTCTTAAATAAATAAACACTGAAAAAAATTTAAGTGTACAGTATAGTGGTTTAGTATTTTAAGACGTTGTGGGGTATCTGGCTGGCTCAGGTAGTAGAACATGTGGCTCTTGATCTCAGGGTCACAAGTTCAAGCCCCATGTTGAGGGTAGAATTTACTTTGGTGTATGTGCTGCTGAAGCAAGCACTAGAATTTACTTCTTTTTTTAATGTTTATTTTTGAAGGAGAGAGAGAGAGACAGAGCGTGAGTGGGGGAGGGGCAGAGAGAGAGGGAGACACAGAATCCGAAGCAGGCTCCAGGCTCCGAGTCATCAGCACAGAGTCCGATGCGGGGCTCGAACCCACGAACCTTGAGATCATGACCTGGGCTGAAGTAAGATGCTCAACTGACTGAACCACCCAGGCGCCCCTAGAATTTACTTTTTAAAAAGTTGTGGAACCATCTAATTATGTGATTGTAGGACATTTTAGTCACCCCCAAAAGCCACCCCATACACATTAGCAGTCACTACCTAGTCTCCCTTTCCCCTTGCCAGTGGCATCCACTGATCTAATTTCTCTTTCTATAGATTTTCATATTCTGGACGTTTCATACAAATGGTATCAGGTAATACATGGCCTTTTGTTACTGGCTTCTTTCACTTAGCATGTTTTAAAAGTTTATCCATGTTGTAGCATGTATCAACACTTAATCCTTTTTACGGCTGACTAATGTTTTATTGTATGGGTATACCGCGTTTGGGTTGTTTCCGCTTTATGACTATTATGAAGAGTGCTGCTCTGAACAACTGTGAGCAAGATTCTCGGTTTCCAATTGTCTTGGGTAAATACATAGGGGTAAAAGTACAGACCCATACAGTAACTCTATATTTAACGTTTTTGAGCAGCTGCAGACTGTTTCCCAAAGTGACTGTCTCATTTTGCATGCAGTGTAGGAGGGTTCAATTTCTCCACAACCTTGACAATGCCTCTAATTTTCTTTCTCTTTTATGCTAGTAATCATGGTGGGTGTGGAATGGTATTTGATGGAGTTTCAATTTGCCTTTCCCTATTGACTATGGTATTGAGCATCTTTCCATGTACCTGCTGGCCATTTGTATATCTCTTTGGAAAAAGGCCGTTCAGATATTTTACCTATTTTTTTTTTAATGTTTATTTATTTTTGAGAGAGAGAGAGAGACAGAGTGCAATTGGGGTAGGGGCAGAGAGAGAGACACAGAATCTGAAGCACGCTCCTGGATCTGAGCTGTCAGCGCAGAGCCCAACGCGGGGCTTGCACTCACAAGCCGTGAGATCATGACCTGAGCCGAAGTCAGACGCTCAACCGACTGAGCCACCCAGGCGCCCCTCTTTTACCTATTTAATTGCGTTATTGGGTCTTTTTTTTATTGACCTGTAAGAGTTCTTCTTCTGTCTGGATACAAGTCCCTTTTCAGATAAATATTTTATACCATTATATGGGTTGTCTTTTCACTTTATTGACAGTGTTTTCAAAAGCACAGAACTTTAAAGTTTTGAAATGCAATTCATCTTTTTTTTTTTCTTTTCTTTTCTTCCTTTTTCGCTGTATCTGCTTTTGGTGTCCTGTCTAAGAAACAATCACTTAATCCAAGATAAGAAGATTTGTGACTTTCCTGTTTTCTTTTTTCTTTTTAATTTAATTTAATTTAATTTTTTTGAGAGAGAGAGTGAGAGTGAGTGCACAAGCAGGGGAGATGGGTAGAGGGAGATCTCACCACCCTGAGATCATGACCTGAGCCAAAATCAAGAGTCATATACTCAACCAACTTAGCCACCCAGGCGCCCCATGACTATGCTAAGAGTTCTATAGTTGTAGGTCTTTGCATTAGCAATTTGAGAAATTTTTTTTGTTACTTTCTTTATTGAGATATAATTGACATATAACGTTCTATTACATTTAAGCCAAAAAAAATCTAACAATTTCAAATTTGTCTCTGTTGTGAAATGCTCACCACAAGCCTAGTTAATATCCATCACCATATAAGGTTATAGTGTGTTTTTTACTTGTGATTAAAACTTTTAAGATTTATGCTTAGCATCTTCCAAATATACAGTACATTATCATTAACTATAGTCACCATGCTGTGCATTACATCCCTATGGCCCATTTATTTTATAACTGGAATTTCGTAGCTTTTGACCACTTCTACCCGTTTCACTCTCCTCACCCCTGCTTCTGGCAACCACCAATCTGTTCTCTGCATTTGAGTTCACTGTTGTTATTTTAGGTTCTATGCTCAAGTGAGATCATACAGGACTTGTCCTTTGTCTGACTTATATAGTGTTATACTAACTGCTCAAAGTCCATCCATCTTGTGAATGGCAAGATTTCCTTCTTTTTTATGGCTGAATAATATTCCAGTGTGTGTGTGTGTGTGTGTGTGTGTGTGTGTGTGTGTGTGTGTTTATGCGTATATCACATCTTCTCTGTCCATTCATCCCTTGATGGATACCTGGGTTGGTTCTAAATCTTGGCAATTGTAAATAATGCTGCAGTAAACATAAGTGCAGCTATCTCTTTAAGATATTGATTTCATTTCCTTCGGATAAGTACCCAGAAGTGGGGTTGGGTCATATTGTAGTTGTATTTTTAATATTTTGAGGAATCTCCATACTGTTTCCCACAGCAGGTGTACCAATTTGCATTCCTACCAAGAGGGCACAGGGTTCCCTTTCTTTTTACAAACACTTGTTATCTTTTGTTGGGTTTTTTTTTTTTTTTTTTTTTTTTGATAATGGCCATCCTAACAGGTGCTAGATGATATCTTATTGTGGTTTTGATATGCATTTCTCTGATGATTAGTGATGTTGAGCACCTTTTCATATGCCTGTTGGCCATCTGTATGTCTTCTGAGAAATGTCTTATCAGGTCCTCCACCCATTTTTAATCAGTTATTTGTTTTCTTGCTATTGAATTGAGTTCCTTACATAGTTTGGATATTAACCTTAATCAGATACATGGTTTGCAAATATTTTCTCCCATTCTGTAGGTTTTCTCTGCACTCTATTGTTGATGGTTTCCTTTAATGTGCAGAAGCTTTTTAGTTCAATGTAGTTTGTTGCTTTGTACTTCAGGGGTCCTATCCAAAAGATCATTGATCAGACCAATGTCAAGGAGTTTTTCCCTGTTTTCTTCTATGGTTTTATTGTTTCAGGTCTTACATTTAAGTCTTGATTCCTAATACATTTTGAGTTGACTTTTATATATGGAGTGAAATAAGGGTCTAGCTTCATGTTTTATGTTGAAAACCAGTTTTCCCAACACTACTGGAGACTGTCCTTTCTCAACTGTATGTTCTTGACAACTTCATGGAAAATCAACTGACTATAAGTGGGTGGATTTATTTCTGGGTTCTCTATTCTGTTCCTTTGGTCTATATGGGCCTGTTTTTATGCTGGTACCATGCTGTTTTGATTACTGTAGCTTTGTAGTATATTTTGAAATCAGATAGTTTGACTTCCAGCTTTGTTATCTCTGTTGCTTTGGCAACAAAGCAATATCATATGGTATTTTGTGATCCCATATGAATTTTTAGTTAGCTTTTTCTATTTTTGTGAGATACCATTGGAATTTTTATGGAGATTGCACTGATTCTGTAGATTGCTTTGGTTAGTATGGACACTTAAATAATATCAATTCTTCCAACCCATGAACATGAGATATGTTTCCATTTATTTATGTCATCTTTGATTTATCAGTATTTTATAGATTTCAGTGTAAAGATCTTTCTGTCTTACTGATTAGATTTATCTGAGTATTTTGAATCTGAAATACTGGAGTATTTTATTATTTTTTATATGTATATATTCAGACACAGGATCTGAAGCGGGCTCTGTGCTGACAGCAGAGAGCCCAATGTGGGGCTCAAACTCATGAACCATGAGATCATGACCTGAGCTGAAGTCAGACACTTAACCAACTGAGCCACCTGGGGCCCTGTGTATTTTATCAATTTTGATGCCATTATAAATGGAATTCTCTTTTCTCTTCTTTTCTTTCTTTCAGAGAGAGAGAGAGAGAGAGAGAGAGAGAGAGCGAGCAGGGGAGAGGGACAGAGTGAGAATCCCAACAGGCTTCACACTCAGCACAGAGCCCACAACCCTGGGATAATGACCTGAGCCAAAATGAAAAGACGTTTAACTGACTGAGGTACTTAGGCACCCCAGAATTATTTTCTTAATTTCTCTTTCAGATAGTTTGTTGTTAGTGTATAGAAACACAATTGAATTTTGCATGTTGAATTTGTACTCTGCAACTTTACTGAATTCATTTATTCGAACAGTTTTTTGGTGGAGTCTTTAGGGTTTTCCATATAAAAAATCATGTCATGTGCAAACAGAGACAGTGTTACGTCGTCCTTTCTTCCTTCTATGTGCCTTTATTTCTATTCGTATGCTACTTCCTGCAGGGGTGAGCTTGAGCCTGAGTCTCAGGGGGTTGGTATGGAGACTGGGGTGGGCTGGGAGCCTGGGTCCTTGGGAGCCATCTTGGAGGCTGGGTCTTTGGGGGCTGTCCTGGTGGTGGTACGGACATGGTGCTGGGGTCCATGGTGAAGTCTGGTTCTCACTTCACTCTCTCTTCCCCAAAGGGAGGGTGCCTCTGTGCTGGCTGCATGGGCTTTATGGGGTGGGTAATGGGGTAATGTGATATTGTCTTATCTACTCTCTTAAATGCATCTTCTTATTTCTGTGTTGCACGCAGGTGCTATACTCCCTATCTGGAATCTTTAGTTCTTGTGATAGCATTTTTGCTATTATACATGGAGCTGTTTTCTTACTTTCATTCCCAGATTGTTCAGTTACACAAAAATCAATTGCATTTCTATAAACTATCTTCTACCATGCAACATTTGTGAAGGTGTTTATTCATTCTAATAGATTTTTTGGTACACATCTTACAGTTTTTCATATACAAGATGTGCAAGGATTTTGCATTTACTAGGGCTAAAGGTGGTTATAGTTTGTATCTTCTCTCCCTCATATCTAGCATTCATTTGAGATGAATCCATTGCCTTTGTACAAAAAATATTTCTACTTACTATTTCCATCATTCTTTAAAAGTCCAAAGCCCACTACCTCCTGAATGGGAACCAGAGGCAGACAGTAGTGACCCTGAAATGAAAATGAAAAAAAAAAAAAAAAAAAGCTTTTCCGTGGATTTTTTTCCCCTCCCCAAATGGTCTGCTTTGTCAGGAAGTTGTCTAAATCTTATACAATTCCTTACATATTTTTTAGTTTTTGGAAGATAGTGTTATAAAAGAATACAACTTTTATAAATAAGTAGGGTCTAGGTAGGTAACATATATCAGTAAGTAAGGAATGATGAAAATGGAGTCATCCTGGAGAGCCTAACCTAGTTTTTGAGGGTATATTCCATACTTGACCCAAACCCAAATGTTGTAGATCTTTTGGTTTTCAAGAGAATGCAAAAGTTTTCAAGTTTAACATGAAGTTTCCTGCTTTTTAATGTTGGCTACTAATTAATACATTAAAAAAAAGTAATAGTATCCAGATCAAGCCAAGTTAATCTCAGTGGGTCACCAGCATTTGATCTTTGATCTGCACTGCTTTCCCCCACACTCAGCTCCACTCTGGGAATGTTGGCTTCATTGGGCATCTTGAAGATTCCATTTCCCTAAGGAGCTCTAGGAGTCTATGACCTTTCTTAAAAGAACATGTAACACACAACATCACATCCCTTGCCAATCATTCACATTGTAACTTGCAATTTCTAATGCATAATTCTTTTAAGAGATTGGTCATGTATGGAAATGGAATTCGGTTTGCTTACTTTTCCTGACCTATTACCCCAAATATACATATAAGGAGCTCTACATACTACTCCAGATAGGGCTCACCTTTGGAATCTTCCAGGAGATTGGAAGCCCCCATGCCATTCTGGCTTGTAGCTTGCTCATAAAGGGCATTGCATTACTTAGGGAAACATGTAGTCAGGCACACTTCAGAAACATCTGATTGAGGTATCTAATCCCTCCAAACACTGGCTGACAGAGTTTAGTGACAGGAAGCCATCAGCTAATATTTGAGATAACGTCTCTCTTAAATTTAAAAAGATGGGACAAAATAATTTTTTTCTGGTGGTAGGCTTAATATCTGAACCCTTCAAAGGAATTGGCTTTGAATAAGTAAGAGAAATTTAAATTAAAAATCGTAAGAGAAATCAATAAGTTGTCCTATTAAAAGTAATAAAACTCACTAAAATTAATATATTTAACATATATCCATATGGTCAGTCCAATCAGGCTGCCATAACAAAATGCCATAGAGTGGGTGGCTTATAAATAACAGAAATTGATTTCTTACAGTTCCAAGGCTGGCAAGACCAAGGTCAAGGTGCAGACAGAATTGGTCTTTGGTGAAGGTCCAATTCCTGGCTCACAGATGACCCAAATGTGTTTTGACAGTGTCCTCACATGCGAAAGGGGGAAGGGAGTTCTCTGAATCTCTTCTATAAGGGCAGTAGCCCCATTTACGTGGGCTCCACCCTCATTTACCTAATCACCTCCCGAAGATCCCGCCTCCAAATATTATCATATTGGGGATTAGGTTTCAACATATGACTTTTGGGGGAACACAAACATTTGTTTATGATACATATTAGACAAAATACACAATATGCATGATATTTACTATATATAGTATGCCAATACACAAAATAATCATAGACATAATAAATACATATCCTGTTATCAGGAGTTACAAATAGCAGAAGTTCTGGTCACAATAGCAAACAAATACACAGTGGAAAATAAATATGCTGCACCTTTAATCAGGAAATCTTGAAAATCTGTAGAATATAACATAAGGCTTGACTAAAGAGAGAATGCATTGCTACTGGATAAGAAACTGTAAATATGCCAATTTTCCTTTAACAAATCTGAAAATTTTGTGCAATTCCAATCAAAATACTAATAGGATTTTGGGGAGGGGGGATCTAATAACATGACTGTAAAGTTGATCCAAAAAAACAAACATGGTAGAAGTTCCAGGAAGCAGTCATTAAGGAAAGGAATGGGCATGCCTATGTTTTGATAACATTTTACTTACGGGATATAGATTGCCAACCCCTGATGTCTTTTATTTTTTAATTTTTTTTCACATTTATTTATTTTTGAGAGAGAGAGAGAGAGAGAAAGAGAGAGATAGAACACGAGTGGGAGAGGGGCAGAGTGAGAGGGAGACACAGAATCTGAACCAGGCTCCAGACTGTGAGCCATCGGCACAGAGCCTGACGTGGGGCTTGAACTCACGAACCGTGAGATCATGAACTGAGCCAAAGTTGGCCACCTAACTGACTGAGTCACTGAGGTGCCCCTGCCAACCCCTGATTTCTGTCTTTCCTTATTTCATGCATATTTCTGTTAAGGATGAAGCTTGGCATCACAAATTGAGAAATTAGGTCAGGAAAGAATGCTCTGAATTCAGAAGTCAAAGAAGTATTGGTTCCTGATGCTGATTATTTTTACTTAATGTTTAAATTGCAAAACATTAAAAAAATGTTTTAGAGAATTAAATTCTCAAGACACATTTTTAAAATAAAATCCAAGGATTTTATTGGATTGGATGAGATTTTATTTTTGATTGGTGTGCTAATAGTTAAAACCTATTTTATCAAACCATGTCATGAATAATTCAAAATGTAGTCAACCCTTATTCTGTCTTATAAAGTGTTTAACAATTGTCTCTTCTACTTTGCCAGAGATTGCTCAAATGCTTATTAATCTTGTTTGTTCTTGTTGGCCATACAAGAAAACCTTATTTTCCAGTTTTGGGATTACATGACAAATCTAGGTATGTGCTACGGGCTGAATTGAGCCATTTCCAGATTCCTATATTCAAGGCCTAACCTCCAGTATCTCAGAATGTGGTTGTATTTGGAGATAGGGTCTTTAAAGAGGTAATTAATGGAAAATGAGGTCATGTGGATGGGCCCTAATCCAATATGACTGGCATCTGAAATGAAAAGGAGAATAGGACGCAAACATACACACACACACGCAGGGCCATGTGTGAACACACAGAGAAGATTGCAAGCCAAGGAGAGAGGCCTCCAAAAAAAAAAACCCCAATCTTGCTGACACTTTGTTGTCAGAATTCTGGGATTCATTTTTTTTTTTTAATTAAAAAAAATTTTTTTTAATGTTTATTTATTTTTGACAGAGAGAGAGAGAGAGACAGAGCGCGAGCTGGGGAGGGGCAGAGAGAGAGGGAGACACAGAATCCGAAGCAGGCTCCAGGCTCCGAGCTGTCAGCACAGAGCCCGATGCGGGGCTCGAACTCACAGACCACGAGATCATGACATGAGCCGAAGTCGGACGCTCAACCGACTGAGCCACCCAGGCACCCCTGGGATTCATTAAAAAAATTTTTTTTTAATGTTTATTTTTCAGAGAGAGAGAGAGAGAGAGAGCGCGAGCGAGAGAGCATGTGCAAGTGGGAGAGGGTCAGAGAGAGGGAGACAAGGGATCTGAAACAGGCTCTGCACCGATGGCAGTGAGCCCAATGTGGGGCTTGAACCCATGAACTGCGACATCATGAACCCGTGCCCCCTGAATTCTGGGATTCTACAGGATAGGCCAATAGAGCTGTCTGTGGTGAACATGTGTTATCCCTTCAAGAAAAGGGAAAAATGACCCTGAAGGTGGTTTGGAGTTTGGCAGGGCTGACACTGCCACCACAGGGCCCAGGGCCAATGAGCCAGGGGTACTGTCCTGGTAGGCCCTGAGTACAGAGCATAGAGCCAAAGAGGATTATTCCTAGGCTTTAAAATCTAAAAGGATTTTTTTCCTGCTAGGTTTTGAACTTGCTTGGGACCTGTGATCCCTTTCTTCTTTTCAATTTCTCCTTTTTGGAATAAGAATGTAAATTAGGTACCTTGGGCCAATTCCTGTCTGTGTATAAGTGTGTGTATATAGGCTTCTCCATGCCAACAAGCAATTCTTGGACACCACCAGGATGTCTGAGAATTCAACGCAACTCTGACATTCTCTACTGGAGATAAAATCAGATTCCATGGGTAAAGAAAGGACTCAGTCCCACAGGCCTGTCCTCCATTTCAGGTACCAATTGCAAGCCCGGGGTACCAGTGTTTCTGACCAACTGGCTACAAATTGGAGGCTCTAACGACCCCTTCCTTGTGTTTGATTAATTTGCTGGAATGGCTTTCAAAACTCAGGGAACCTGTTTACTCACTAGGTTACTGATTTATTACAGAAATATTAAAGGATTCAAATCAGCAGCCAGATGGAGAGCTACACAGGGCTAAGTCCTGAACAAAGGACCTCTGTTCTTGTAGAGCCCGGCTCAGTGAGGTGGAACAGGGAAGCGTTTTAGTTCTTCAACCCAGTAGCTCTCTAAACCCTCTCCCTTTAGTTTTTTATGGACGCTTCATTACATAGGGATGATTGATTAACTCCCTGGCCATTGGTGATTGATTCAACCTCCAGACCCTCTCCCTTTCCCAGAATTCAGGAGGTTGGACTGCAAGTCCCAATCCTATAATCATGATTGTTTCCCCTGGCAACACGCCTACATTCCTAGGTGCTTTGCAAGTCACTTCTTTAACAGGAACCCAGGTATGGTGGTTAGGGGTTTTTTATGAATAACAAGACACCTATGCCACCTTTCCTTCTCTGAAGGGATTTCAGAACCCAAGGACCAGAGACCAAATATTATAACAAAAGATGCTCCCATTGCCCTTATCGTTCAGGAAATTCCAAAGGTTTGGGGAGCCGTGAGTGGGTAACTGTGGATGAAGTTCAAATATATATGAGAAGTATATTTTGGTCATCTGAATGGCCAAATATATAATTCTTATAATCACATTATTGCAGAAGGTCTATCCTATGCCTGCCCTACTATTGTGTTTTGGAAGCAGATAACTTGTTTGGTTTCACAGGTTTGAAGCTGGAGAGGAATTTTGCTTCAGGATCAATGTACCTCAAGTCTCAACCACACCAGATTTAGATGATGGTCAGATACAATTTTGTACTTAGAGCTGATGGTTGAATGGTTTAAGATTTGGGGGAGGGCGCTGTTGGGCTGGGGTGAATGTATTTTGCATGTGAAAAGGACATATACTTTGGGGGTCAAATGCTGAAGTGTTACAGCCTGAACTGGTTCCCCCCAAATCATATATTTGACTGTATTTGGAGATAGAGTTTTAAAGAGGTGATTAAGGTTAAGTGAGGTTGTTAGGATGGCCCCAATGCTCTATGGCTGGTGTCCTCATAAGAAGAGGAGATTAGGACACACACACACACAAAAGGGCATGTGTGAAGATAGCCATCTACAGGACAAGGAAAGGGGCCTCAGGAGAAACCAAGCCCTCCCACACCTTCGTCTCAGACATTTAGCCTCTAGAATTATGAGAACATAAATTTCTGTTGGTTAAGCCACCCAGTCTACATTACTTTGTCATGGAAGTCCTAGCAAACTAATACAGTATGAGACTAATATTTGCTCTGCTCTGGGATATTTGGCTCTATTATTATGTCCACGGCTCAAAACATCTTTTTTTCCCCTTTCTATTCTGATCCATAGTATGTATGTATGTATGTATGTATGTATGTATGTATGTATGTATGTATTTAAAGCTTATCTATTTTGAGAGAGACAGAGTGAGTGGGGGAATAGCAGAGAGAGAGAGAGAGAGAGAGAGAGAGAGAGAGAGAATCTCAAGCAGGCTCCACGCTGTCAGCACAGAGCCTGATGTGGGGCTTGAACTCACGAAACTGAGATCATGACTTGAGCGAAACCAAGAGTCAGATGCTTGACTGACTGAGCCACTCAGGCGCCCCCTGATCCATAGTATTTAAACAGGGGGGTAGTGAAAGATTTGAGGAATCCTGGAGAATGGGTGAAATGGAGCTATGTATATTATAGTGAACAAATGATTTCTGGAAAGAGTTCCAAATACTACGTACGATGGGGCATATCCTAAATTCAGAACCAGTTCTGTTCAGAGAACATTAGAAAGATTTTAGTTTAATTGTGGACTTGTTGGTCGTGTTGGACCAGTAGTTAACAACTGAGCTGATAGCACCGGCTTTGATAGTCTAGGACTAAACCTTCCTCCTTCTTGGCCATCAGGAGCCCCATTAGTAAAATGAAAGCACTTCCAATGGTTTTTCCTCTCCTTTCTTTGGAATGGAGTCATGTGAGCTGAAGTAGGAAACTTTCCACCCACAACACTAACTTCATTCGTTTCCAGCAGTTCTTTAATTTACTCTAAGAGTCCCAAATAGATTAGCTGGATTTCTAGGCTCTATTATTCAGCCTAACTAGCATTAACCACCGACTACAGACCCTGAACAACCAATGCAAACTCAGCTTGCATGTGACAAGTTTTACGGATGATGAGGCACCATAGCACCGTGGATTGAGAAATAATACTTAACCCAC